AAAATCTACAGCCTTAAGTGATACTAATCAATTTGCCGAAAGTGAATATGAGTTAATGAAACGAGAGGCATCCAAGAGGGGGCATTTCGAGTGGACAATGAAAACATTGAATTTCATATAATAGACAATTTGAAATACTGATACTAGATTTGATGAAAAATATGTATTGAATAAGTTGCCAAATGCAACCAACGCTATTAAAAATGGCTAAAATCAGATTTTTTTCGTTACTTGCGGAAGGTTCACAGAAGAGGAAGTGAAAGTTTGCCGATGATATTGGAGAATATACGACGGTTATCCAAACCAGTTCCCAAGTTTTCGTAAAGCAGAAAAATGTAAAATGATAAAGAGAAAATGATTGCTGAAAATGATGATTTAGTCGATATAATTCTTTCTTGTAAAAAACTTATTCATGTTAACAACATGACCGAGGAAGATGATCCTGAATTAAGGTTAAGACAAGAATATCGTTACATATTAAGGGCACACTTCAAGTTTAATTGTGATGCAGTTTATCGACCAAGAAATTTGGATGAAATAAATGAGAGAATTAGAAACCATATGACAGACAAAGAAAGAATTCAAAATGAAATGGGAAGCATTAAGGAGCTGCTAAGACAATCACAAGAAAGTGCCGAAAATGCAGAAGAAACTGCACAAAAAAAAAGAAGAAAATTACAACAAGAATTTAAAGAAACTCTGAAATTTATTTAATCAGCATGCAGAAAGAAAAGATAGGATTGCTGCCCTAATGGCAGAACAAATGGATTCTAAATTAAGTGAGGTGGAAGCATGATAGAAATTAAATGCCCAAATGACTTCAGAAAGAGCTCAACATCAAAATGATTTGAAAGAGATGAGAAGTTTTTACGATCATCAGTTTAATCAAACACGCCAAGTCTATGAGAATGCGATCAAAAATACAGGAGGCAGAGGAGTATTTGTAAAATAATGTAATAATTGAGCTTTATTACGATTGTGATCATCAGACCATCCCATCACGGGTGGTGCTCATTTCACCGACAATCACTTCACCGACATCTTAGTTTACCGACAATTAATTCACCGACAAGTTCATTTCACCGACAATTAATTCACCGACAGCTCATTTCACAGACAAAGTAAT